ATGGCAGCATAAGGGGATCGAGTGGCAGCTTTCCTAAAGATACAGGGCAACCCCTGGGGACAAATTCGGGGATGGGGCAGCTGCTAACTGTGCCCTCCATATGACCTTTTGGGTAGTTTTTAAATATCTAGATTTGCAATAATGATTTAAATATCTGGATTTCCTTCCAGATATGCGGCAGGTATATTAACCGCCGACATATCCAGAAATACTATGATAAAGCTCTAACAATTGTAACATGACTCTAACAAAACAAAGTTAGATGTCTAGTTAATTAGATGTTTAGATGAGTGAAAATTAGATGTATAGTGGGTGTGAATGTTTGATACATAATACTAAGAAGTTATGTGTCGTTTGTGATAAAATATATTCCGTATTTGTTATATTGTGTTGTAACCAGTACATATAAGCATCTCATTTCATCACTGTCTCATAAAGGCATGATATTTCCATGCAAGTGCAAATGACCTATACCTTGATGGTTTTAAAAATGCATTCACACCCTCCTACTTAAAACTGCATGGTGACAGTTTACTAGTTTAGTAATAAAGCACAATTTAGTAAACCATGATGCAAAAAAGCATGGTGACAAAAAAGCATGGTTTTAAAAATGTGGCTTGCTTAAAACTGCACGGTGACAAAAAATTTAAAACTACATGGTTTTAAAAATGTGGCTTGCTTAAAATTTTGTCACCATGCATTTTTAACTGTCCCATGTTAAAAATGCAAGTGCAACAATGTGGCTTGCTTAAAATTTTGTCACCATGCTTTTTTGCATCATGGTTTACTAAAATGTGTGTGCTTCATTGTTATGAAGCACCAATCAGTCCATACAATTTTCGATGCGATTTTCACCATGGGTCATCAGTCATCCGGAAACAGTCTGTACTTTAGCACGGGGGTAAGAATGTGTGCATCCGACCCCCCTTACCCCATCGTAGGAGCCTTTGCGACACTGGGTAATGATGATGATGCTTTTTTTACATGAATGAGATCAGCTATATAAATTATTCATCTTTATAAATTTAATCCCACCAATCTCAATTCCCAACTAGTTGGTATTAAGATGATTATAATGATGACCATTTCTCAAGTTTTATTTTATATTGCATTTACCTTTCTATTTATTTCCATTATTTGCAATGGAGCTAAAGATTCACTATTTTCTAGCTTGGGAACATGATGGAATAAAGTAAAATGACTCACTAAACTGTTTGCTCTTATTTGTTATGAAGCAACAATCAGTCCTTACAATTTTCAACGCGATTTTCACCTTGGGTCATCCGGAAACCGCGTCTCTCTGTGCTTTAGTGCTGGGGTAAAGCTGCGTACATTCGACCCCCTTACCCCCACCGTAGTTGGAGCATTTGCGGCATTGGGGTAATGATGATGAATGAATGCTTTACATTTCTATTTGTGGATTGATTCACGCTTTAAACCCTCAACTTTGCAGGCATGAGTGTATTTTCTCTTGTCTAGTAGAATGGGAGGGCATTAAAAAGGTAATTTACGTTATGTATTTGCCATTTCTTTTGTCTTTTATGCCTTTCCATTAATGTTATTGAGCAAGTCACGTACAAAACGTTTTAGTGTCAGACAGCCTCGCGCTGCAAAATGCCTCTTAAAACATTAAACAAGTGATGACGTGAGTGAAGTGCTGTCTGTTAAAAAGCCCGTGTGCCAACACCTATTTGGTCATTGTCAACTAAACTGATCTTAAACTTATATCTTTATCATGATTTGTTTCTCCTGCCCTTATTATTCAGGTGTATTAGAAAGTCTTTACTTAGCATGATGCCATTTCTCACATTGCAAGAATGAACTAAAAAAACACTTCACTAATTCTTATCAGGACCATTGTAGAACTGATCATTCGCTTGTAAAATTGAATGGTGTGCATTACCTATTAAGTTAGCAACCTCTGCTGAGGTATTTTTGTGCTTTCTTTCAATGAAGTAGTGTTAGAGACTTTGATAATTATGCCATTCATCTCCTGGAACTATGAAGTGCCAACTTTTAATTGTTTCTAAATTGCTTTGTCAGAACTTCACATTCATTAGTTATTACTGAGGCTTGATTATTTGTTACTTTGACTTGCCACAGATTGTAGGCAATGCATCAGTACTTGTTATGTTGGAAATGTACCAGTTCCTCTTCTCTGCATTAATGCATTGACGATCCAGTTTGTACGACATAAGCATTTCCATGGGATGAGCGCAGGTATTTACAATTTACATCAGTTCTTGTTTAAACAATTTATGAGATCATTAATATGAACCTAGACAACTGTCTGGGGAAAGTATATGGGAAAGACTGAAAAATAATGACTGTTGATTGTTTTTTGTTTGACATTGCGTGTAGTTTAAGAAAATAAAGTTGTGCGATTAAAATTTATTTTGAAGGGCATGGAAAGAATGTGAACCGCCCAGTTTCGTTGAAAGAAAACATGAAAACTATTTGGGGACATATTAAAATGGAAAGTATGAAGATTAAATGGGGACACAGAAAATAGTTTTCTAACATCTCCTTCAGGTTTTACATTGATGGAGATGTAAGATAACTTAGTTGGGCTTTTTGACAGCTGTCTAGCCACATTCCAATTTCAGATGGCTGACATCGGATAACTTAGTCAGGTTTTCTGTAGTTCTAGTAACTCAAAAGTCTGAAAGATAAACTAACAACAATACTTGGAAGATAAATAAATAAAACCTGAAAGATATAGAAAAACAAAAAATGAAAAACAAATATTTATGGGCATCCTCTCTTTCCTTTTTCACACACCACAACTAGTGCAACAACCTTTTTACTCTGCAGTTCAGAGGCTATATTGATTGTGTATGTCTACGCTAGATCACAATTGAAAGTTTTCTGAGTGTTGATTACCGAGTAATTTTAAATATTTAAAAAGTGAGAGCGTTTAAGTGTAACTTGGGGCTGTTTGGAGAACAGGTTTTTGCTCACAGCCCCCCCCGGTATGTAGGATACATTTGCTAGTGTTACTTTAAGTTTAGGAAGTTTTTACTTGGACTGAAATTTGTTGGTTTGGTCTGAACTGATCTGGTCTGGTAAATATCTGGTCTCTGTGCATTTTATAACTGTTCAAGTCTGATCTATTCTGGTCTGGTCTAGGACTGGTCCACTACATGGTTCTCTTTTATGTGTGTAGGCAGTTTCAACTTTCAAATGATGTGGAGAATGAGCAGCCTTCAATCTCTTTTTTGCTATGATAAGTCTATGTCTAAGGAGGTTATAGAGAAGTAGAGAACCCCTCTGGGGCTAGCATTGCATGCGAAGAATATTGGAAACAAATCTCTCCTTGTGGTGGTTGTAAAGCAGCAGGTGGTGTATTATGTATATGTAGCATGTGTTCTGGTTCAGGCCTAGATGTTGATTCTATCATGGAATATGAAGGGGTTATTGTTAAAGTAAAATCCTTAGGTAAATTTTTATTTTGTCACATCACTTCCATTTTATTTGTATACTCTAAGATGGTGGACAGATCGCAAAAGTCTTTAACTGTTGTGATGCATGTTTGTGTGATTATGTATGCTGGAAATCATTCATTGTTGTCTTATTGCAACCTCCCTCCTGAAAAATATTATATACAGGAAAAAACAAGGAATTCTTTCTAGTTTTTTTTTTTCTGAATGATTGATTTAATTTTTGAATGCTTTCCACTAAAATAGGTAGACTTTGAATTTCTTATTTTGGGTGAAATCAGTTTTACCAAAATGCTTTCCTTTTGTTCACTAAATGACCCTTGTCAGACGGGCTGAGATAGTGTCTCCAGTTACCCATAATTAAGCTTGATGATTCAAACATGGTTCAACCCCTCCTCCCATTATTCCCCATTCCCTAATCCCTACTTGTATCTTTTGTCTTGATATGGGCTTGTTTTTGCATGCCACAACCATAACAATTGTGGAGAAAGAACTTTGTGTTCTTGGTAATAACATTAAAGAAAATAAAAAATAAACAAAGGTGTATTGAATTAGATGTTTAGTTTCTCACTGTTTTCTTCTTAAGCAGGTTGTGGCTGAGGTAATCAATGATTCCCTTGTTTAGTTTAGTCATATGCATACTGTATTTTCTCTAGCTCTTAAAATTGAACCGGTAGGGGTGACAACAAAATCTAGACTTCATGTTACACACCTTAGTTGTAGTTGTCCATGATCATAGGCGGAACCACCTTGTGTCCTGGTGTGTAGCATATAATGGGCACACAACTATTTTTTTTACCCAAGGAAGTAGGGTGTCGAACCACAGAGAAGCGGGAAATAAAATAATTAATCACAAACTAAAGATTAAAGTTGGGAATGCGTTCTTTTGATTTTTGGTTTACTTGAAAAAGTAATAAAATAAAAGTGATTGAGATGAGAGATTTTTATCAACACAAAGTTCAACAAATAGCAAGTAGGGGTAGAAATTGGTAACTAATTGTTCAATGTTTAATTGAGAGACATAATTGCTAATTTTATTCTTAAATAGATTGTGAGAAGTTGTAGATAAATATTTTAGGACCCAACACAAGTCATCTAAAATAAGTAACTAGTCAACATTTCCCAGTGATGGCCAAAATGAGACTAGTTGTTTAAGTGCAACGACAACCTTAATTATTAACTATATTATTTACCCAACCCCGTGGTGTAAATAATATAATTAAATAATTAAATTCCCCCGTAAAACTTCAATCCGGGACAAGGTAAAAGAAGTTTAGCGGTGTGTTCAGAAAGTGTTCATTTGTGTATTTAACAAACAATATGTTTATGATTGAGTACTCATAATATATATCACAAACATAACTTAATTAATTTTCTGGACACAACAATCTAAATAGAACAAACTTAACAATTAAAATCAATACAAATTAAAACATGATAAGAACAATTAATTAACCAATTTCTAGCCCCAAATTTATTTAGCTATACATGTTTGGAAGCTTAGAAATAGATGAATTCATGATTAAAGTACAAGATTTAAAGAGATAAGGAAAATCAAACTTGTGATAGATGATAATCCTTGGAGCTTGCTGCTAATCTTGACTTAATCTTGAATGAGAAAGTGATTAGTTGTGGTTGAAGATGGGTTGATGATTTGGAAGTGAAGAATGAAGAGAGAAGGAGGAGGAAATGATTCTGGGAGGTGTAGAGAGAAGTTGGCTCGAGATTATGTGTGGAAGGAGATGGATTAAGGCAATATAATGATAAGGTGATTAATCATTAATTGCTGGAATTTACGGAACCGAAGAGTAAATGTACAAGAAAACGCGTCCATGTATCAATAACGCGTAGCAGTGCAGTGGAAACGGAATGCTCCTGAGACTCTGATGTCCCGTGTTCGAACCCTTCTGTTGACGTTTTTTTTCCGTCTTTTCTTGCTGCAGTTGAAAGGAATTAAAATAAGCTTCAGCTAAACCTTTGCAACTTTGACATTTAGCTCTCTGGTTGAGCTTGCTCTTCTTTTCCCAAGTGGCCAAGGATCGAACCCTTGCTTCATGTTATTTCTTTCACTTTTTGCCTCTTTTCTTCAATTTACTCATTTGCTTGAAATTCTACTTTTGACTGGAACTTTCATTTTCTTCTTCTTTTCACACACAAATATATCAAATTGTGTCAAAAGTACCTGAAAATACAAAATACCTGTATAGAGCTGCACTAATACAAACTAACGACAAATAATAAAAATATGTACAAAAGTGGAACTTTAATAACTAAAATTAACAACAAACTAAGTCTAAAAAGTGTGTAAAATATAAGTACATCAAATCCCCCACACTTAGACTTTTGCTTGTCCTCAAGCAAAACAAACAACAAACACAAAAATATACACAATTTTGTAAAATTTACAAATATAACTAAACAAATCACACATACACCTCTAATGTCCACTAAACGGTCCAATACCCTCAAATGTCACAAAATAACTAAATGAGAGTAAACCGAGTATTATTGCCTATCACTAAGATTTTCAAATCAAACTTTTAACACAAATACCTATAGATCTGAATTAGTTCGGGTTATGCAGAACAAGTTTCTCCTATTAGTTTAATTCGAAAACGAACACAAATAGATCAATTAGGACTTTTATTCGGGTTGTGGCGAGGTTAATGAGTGTGGCTAGTTGGAAGAAAGGTTTGTTATGAGAATTTACAAAGAGAGTTAGATTGCACTTATACTGAGCGGATAATCACACGAATTTACAAGCACTTGGAGCATACAAAGCAATGAAAAATATGAACATGAAAAGGAAAAAAATGGGGTTTTACAGAAGAACAACAAGAAAATGTGCCTCTTTGTTTTTGTTTTTTTATTTACTTTTATTTTCTTTTTTTCTTTTTTTTTTTTTTGTTTTTTTTTTCTTTTTTTTTTCGAACTTTTTTTTTTCAAAGAAGGCACACACTAAATATTACAATGAAAAACTAACCCCAAAATTTACAAACAAATATGTACTTCACTAATATGACACTTAACGGAAGCTCCATTTTATCCACTCTCAAGTAACAATACAAACTACTCTAGGGTTCAAACAAAAATGACTTGGGTAGGATTTCACAAGGTTATGTATTTACAAGGTCACAAGAAAAATTAGTAACAAGTGAAGTAAGTTATTTTACACTTGTACACTGAAAAGGCTAAAACAGGGTTACTAGGGAAAGTGTTATTTATTTACAAAGGGATAGTATTTGGCTTCATGGGTAAACAAAGATGGCCTAAATCATTTCTACTCTGTCAAGTTCAAATAAAATTTTCAAGGAGAATAAATGTATAAACATCTTAAACTGCATAAACTTTCACTAATTCAACTATTAAACCAATAAATTGGAAAAATAAAATCTAAGGTGTTAAATGTTAAATTGTTAGAAAGAATCAAGCTCAAAGCTCATACTAAGTTACTCTCAAAAAATTACAGTGACACTTCTCAAACTCAAACCACATTTCATCAAAAGAGGTGAATGAATAATTTAAAAAGTTAAGGAGGTAACTAGTAACAAAAAGTGTAAACTAGTGTGTTGCTAGTCTATTGTTGCATTTTGGACAAGACTGGTCTTTATTCACAAACAAAACACACAAAATAAATAAAACAAAATCACACAAACACACAAGGAAAAAAATATTCACACAAGAAATCAGGGTCGAACTACCCACTCCCCCACACTTAAAATTTGCACTGTCCTCAGTGGAAAAGAAATTAAAGGAGTGTAAAGAAAACTTCCCTGAAGCGCGACCGAATCTGGAATTGTTTATCCGCATGACGTTTGGAGATCCCCTTGAGCGGATGTGGCCCCTTTAGAGTCCAAAGAAATAAAGAAAACCTAGACTAATCTTTTTTTTGTCTTTCTCTTTTTTTTTGACTTTTTTTTTGTGAGAAATTTACAAACTTGGGTTGCCTCCCAAGAAGCGCTCGTTTAAGGTCATTAGCTTGACCCATGCCTTTCATTCATATTCTGGATCAATGAGGCAATACACAGAAGTTGCCTCTTGTCTCTCACTTTGGGTGCTTTTCCTTTGATATTCAAGGATTGATCTTCAAGGTTAAGCACTTCAAATTTAAGTGCTTTAGGCATTGGTAAAAATATGCTTTGCAACATTTCGAGACATAAATTCACCATTTCATTGGCTTGCTCATCTGCAATAGATTCTTGTATGGTGTACTCCATGGGATCTTTAGAAAGCCGATACGACTCATCAAATGTATTAGTAGTACAAGAGTCTATAACATCGGCATAGTAACCATCAAGGACACAAGGTGTATCCTTACTCAACTCTTGTACATTGAATTCGATCTTATCATCCCCAATCTCAAGGATAAGGGTACCCTTTTTGACATTGATAATAGTTCCTGCTGTAGCTAGAAAAGGTCTCCCGAGAATAACAGGAACTCGGGCATCTTCTTCCATATCCAAGACAACAAAGTCTCCTGGGATATAATACTTGTCAATTTTGATAGGAACATCTTCAAGAATACCGATAGGATATTTGACAGATCGATCAGCCAATTGTAATGCCATTGTTGTTGGTTTGGGATCCCCCAAGTGTAGCTTTTGACATAGTGAATAAGGAATTAAGCTAACACTTGCACCAAGATCACAAAGAGCTTTGTTAACTTTGGATCCACCAATGGTACATGGAATTGAGAAGCTTCCAGGATCACGTAACTTGGGTGTGATTTTATTTTGGATGATGGCACTGCATTCTTGACTCATTGCAACAGTAGCTGGATTCTCCTTCTTCTTTGTGAGAATATCTTTGAGAAATTTAGCATATGAAGGAATTTCTGTAATGGCATCAAGCAAAGGAATTGAGATATCCAATTGCTTGATAACATTCAAAAATTTAGTTCTCCGCTCCTCCATATTAGCTTTCTTCAATCTGTTCGGATAAGGAACTGGGGGAATGTATTTCCTTACCGGACTTTCTCTTTGTTTCTTAGACCCTTCACGGTCATCAGATGATTTCGGCATGGTACCGACATCAAGTTCATTGTTGTTGTTTCCACCTTTCTGTTGTTGCACGATCCCTTCCTCCAACACTTCATGTTCTTGTTCATCACTAGAAAGGGGCAAGGATTGATGTTGTTTCCCACTCCGAGTAGTGACGGCATTCATTTGCTCCCTCGGGTTTTCAGGACAAGCAGGTAGCTTACCCGTCACCTTAGTTGATGATGTAGATGCTTGATTTGCAATTTGATTCTCAAGCATCCTATTGTGAGCCCGAAGTTGACCAAGTTCTTCGGTGATTTGTTTCAGGGTTTCGGCTTGAGATAATTGGGACTTGAGAAGTTGGTCAACAATGTTTTCTAGGACAGGAGTTTGGGCTGTTTCAGGAGTGGGTAGAAGTGGTTTTTGTTGTTGATTTGAATGGTATGGAAGATTTTGGGTAGGTTTGTATTGTTGCTGGTTCACAACACCTTGTCCACCTCTGAATTGTTGTTGTTGATTTTGGAAACCGGGTGGTGCACTTCGGTAAGTTTGTTGTGGATTAGCAGCTCCATTTTGATTGCTCCAGGCCTCCAGGAAAAACCGGGATGATTTCTTCCTTGAGGATTGAAATTACCAAACTGATTTTGTTGGGGCTGCGTATTGTAGTTGACATAGTCAACTTGTTCCATTGATCCCCATGGACAAGTGGACTGATTGTGTTGTCCACCGCAAGATTCACACATAAGAACGGGAACAAGAGTTGGAGTTGATGCAGAGTTTTGCACAAGAGAGACTTGTGCCATCTTTTGGATCAGAGTCATAATGTTATCGACCTTTGTGGTTATGGCCAACATTTGATCAACTTCGTACATGTCTCCAACTTTTGGTGGAGCAGATGATCGCTCAGAATACCATGTTGATCCATTTGATGAAATGCGTTCCATGAATTCTTCTGCCTCTTCAAGTTCTAGGCACATGAATGATCCATTTGCGGACGCGTCCACAAGTATCCGAGAATTTTCACTTAGGCCTTCATAGAAAGCCGTCATCAAGTGCCAGTTTTGGATGTTGTGATGTGGACATTGTCGCTGAAGATCTTTGAATCTTTCCCAAGCCTCATAGAGGGGCTCATTGGGATTTTGTTTGAAATTTTGAATCATTCTCCGGATTTTCGCCGTTTTAGATGGCGGGAAAAATCTTTTGAGAAATTCACCATGAAGTTGATCCCAAGTGGAGAAGTGATTGTCCGGAAAAGAGTCAAGCCAACTCTGAGCTCGATCCCGTAGAGAGAATGGGAATAGGCGTAGTCTGACAGCATCAGATGGCACACCATTGATTTTGAAGGTGTTGCAAGCTCGAAGGAACTTTGTGATGTGATTATTTGGATCCTCCGTTGGCGCTCCGCCAAATCGATCATTTGAAACCATTTGGATGATAGCAGTTTTGATTTCAAATTGATTCATGTTAACCTCCGGTGGAATAACACTGTCATGCTCATTTACAGGAGGCGTAACATAATCATATAATGGTTTCCTGGTCCTCGTAGCCTGATCCACGATTTGTTGATTTGGTTCCTGCTCATTTACAACAATATCGTTTGACATTTTTTTTATCTTTTTCTGTTCACGTATGTGCTTTTCAATGTCAGAGAAGAATAACAATTCACAATTAGCACCACGTGAACGTGTAAGCATAAGCAGAAGGGATTGGGATTGGGGAAAGAGAGAGAGAGAGATGAAAAGAAAAGAAAAATTGCGGAATTAATTAATTAAGGTTCGCACGTAGTCAATTGGTATAAACCGAGACTAGTGAGCCCTTAAAGCAATATTAATATATACAGTAATTCACCAGGATGCGGCAGGGCCGACAGATATGATGATTTAAGAAGAAGAGAAAAAAATCTACAATAATAAATACAGTCTCCACCAAGATGTAGCTGTGCCGACAGTCTGGAGATTATTAAGAAAAAAATATAAATAAAAAGTGCACGCCACCAACAAGCGGACACGGCCGACAAGCTTGGGGATGCAAAAAAAATGCAGAAATTAAATTGCTGAAATTAAAGTGTGGTAATTAAAGTGCAAAAATTAAAGTGCAATAATTAAAGTGCAGAAATTAAAGAGTTAGTCCGACCATGTAGGCGGAGTATCCTTTAAATTATTATGTACAACTAAACGGTCCGACCATATAGGCGGATTTTCCGTTGAATTAATATGTACAAATTAGCGGTCCGACCATATAGGCGGAGTATCCTTTGAATTAAAATGTGACAATATGTCCAATGCTCCAAATGTCCAGATATATGTTCAGTCAACAAGTCCAACTCCAATGCTCAGGTAAGGTAATTAATCACAGTTCAATTTTTTATTTTTTTGAACTTTAATTAATCACTCGTATTTTTTTTTTTGTATTTTTTTTTAACCGGCAAAAGTAAACAAGATAACAAGAAAATAATATACACACAATTTACAATAACTAAAACCAAAAGTTCATGCTTTTTTTTTTCAAAACCGCCTCCCCGGCAACGGCGCCAAGTTGGTGTGTAGCATATAATGGGCACACAACTATTTTTTTTACCCAAGGAAGTAGGGTGTCGAACCACAGAGAAGCGGGAAATAAAATAATTAATCACAAACTAAAGATTAAAGTTGGGAATGCGTTCTTTTGATTTTTGGTTTACTTGAAAAAGTAATAAAATAAAAGTGATTGAGATGAGAGATTTTTATCAACACAAAGTTCAACAAATAGCAAGTAGGGGTAGAAATTGGTAACTAATTGTTCAATGTTTAATTGAGAGACATAATTGCTAATTTTATTCTTAAATAGATTGTGAGAAGTTGTAGATAAATATTTTAGGACCCAACACAAGTCATCTAAAATAAGTAACTAGTCAACATTTCCCAGTGATGGCCAAAATGAGACTAGTTGTTTAAGTGCAACGACAACCTTAATTATTAACTATATTATTTACCCAACCCCGTGGTGTAAATAATATAATTAAATAATTAAATTCCCCCGTAAAACTTCAATCCGGGACAAGGTAAAAGAAGTTTAGCGGTGTGTTCAGAAAGTGTTCATTTGTGTATTTAACAAACAATATGTTTATGATTGAGTACTCATAATATATATCACAAACATAACTTAATTAATTTTCTGGACACAACAATCTAAATAGAACAAACTTAACAATTAAAATCAATACAAATTAAAACATGATAAGAACAATTAATTAACCAATTTCTAGCCCCAAATTTATTTAGCTATACATGTTTGGAAGCTTAGAAATAGATGAATTCATGATTAAAGTACAAGATTTAAAGAGATAAGGAAAATCAAACTTGTGATAGATGATAATCCTTGGAGCTTGCTGCTAATCTTGACTTAATCTTGAATGAGAAAGTGATTAGTTGTGGTTGAAGATGGGTTGATGATTTGGAAGTGAAGAATGAAGAGAGAAGGAGGAGGAAATGATTCTGGGAGGTGTAGAGAGAAGTTGGCTCGAGATTATGTGTGGAAGGAGATGGATTAAGGCAATATAATGATAAGGTAATTAATCATTAATTGCTGGAATTTACGGAACCGAAGAGTAAATGTACAAGAAAACGCGTCCATGTATCAATAACGCGTAGCAGTGCAGTGGAAACGGAATGCTCCTGAGACTCTGATGTCCCGTGTTCGAACCCTTCTGTTGACGTTTTTTTTCCGTCTTTTCTTGCTGCAGTTGAAAGGAATTAAAATAAGCTTCAGCTAAACCTTTGCAACTTTGACATTTAGCTCTCTGGTTGAGCTTGCTCTTCTTTTCCCAAGTGACCAAGGATCGAACCCTTGCTTGAAATTCTACTTTTGACTGGAACTTTCATTTTCTTCTTCTCTTCACACACAAATAATAAAAATATGTACAAAAGTGGAACTTTAATAACTAAAATTAACAACAAACTAAGTCTAAAAAGTGTGTAAAATATAAGTACATCAAATCCCACGGGTCTCGGGACCCCACGAACGTCCAAGAAAAAAACTATATTATATAGTAGTATATATTAGATGAACTAACCAAATTTATGTCTATATATTACTCCCTCCGTCCCAGGGAGAAGTTCCCGGGTTGACTTTCACACATATTAAGGAAATAAAGTTACTGGGGGGTAAATTTTACTGTTTGGCACTGTTTCGACACTGTTTGGCACTGTTTAGCACTGTTTGGCACTGTTTTGATGTAGAATAACTTTCCATTTAGGGAAATGGGAACTTCTTGTTGGGACTGCCAAAAAAGGAAATTGGGAACTTCTCCCTGGGACGGAGGTAGTATATGAACTAATCAAATTTATGTCTATATATATATATATTCATTTACCAAATTTTATTAAAAATAACAAGGTTTTACAACAAGGAAAGGGATACACTTATCCAGAAACAAAGATAATTTAAGGTACATGAGTTCTGTCTAAGTTTAAAGCTGTTTGTGTTGATGGAAATGATTTGTATTGTAAAAGTAGTTGAGATTCGTTGAAGCTTGTAAGCAGAGTTGACTAGTTGAGCCACTTCATTGGTGTGTAAATCACAAAAGACAAATGTAATCCACAAGATCTCAGTAATGTTGCTCTGAAGATTCCTCAGAAGAGTAGCTGGTCGCTTAATCTCATTTAAAATAGCAGACGAAGAATACAAATCTGTTTCCACTATGAAATCAGCATACCCTTTCTCCGTTGCCCATTGAATAGCAGTAAATATCCCCAACATGTCAGAGTGTAGTAACGATAGAGCCTTGGTAGGGGAGGTAATCGCAAAAACTAGCAGTTCTCTACCATTTCGCATCTACACCACCTTTACTATCCGAAGCGTGAATATTAAGTTTTAACCCTGAGCTAGGTTTCAGCAAAAATGCCAGCTTCAGCCTAGTTTTCCAGTTGGTTATAAGACATTCTTGAAAGAGAAGAGAGTTGGATTTCTCATGTTTAGAATCCCGGAGACTGTTTGCTCAATTCCAATTGTGATTCTTAATTGTAAAGGTAATCCTGGAAGAAGAGGGTGTTGCTGCTTCTCCCCCAGGTAATAGCTGAGTAAGTGTAACGACCACACCCGTCTATTATGGGATTGAGATGGCTTATATGCAAGGTGTCCCTTCCTCCTAATCGGCTGGCTTATGGCACTGCAATGGCTAGGTCCGTAACAATAAGCTTTCCAAATAAACCATGCTTTTGCAACTGGTAAGATAGGCAATGATTTTCCATAATATTCCTCCTACATTCCAGCGACCAAGAAATAAACAATTGTTTGATAGAGCATCCAGGAGAAGAAGGTTTGGGAATACCAAAGATACTAATAAAGTAGTACCAAATTTGAAGGGAGAATGGACAGGATAATAGGCAATGCTCCATAGTAGCTGAGTAATTGTGACAGAACGGGCAAGTTGAAGGAAATAAAGCTCTAAATCTGCTCATAAGAGAAGGAAAGGTAGAACGTTATGATAAAGTTTCCAAAGAAAATTATGAAATTTAGGGACCTGTTTAGGATGCTAGATTTTGGACAGCGAAAAGGTTGTGCCTCTGCAATGCCAACTCGCTTCATAAGAAGAAGAAGAAGAAGAAGAAAGGTAGAACACTCCATCATTTCTTGGTAACCAAGATAAGTTTCCTTCAAAGTCTACTTTGATAAGTTCAATACATTGGTTATTTACCTGACATAATCTCTTCCAAATACGCGAATCAGGTAGTTTGGGGATCATAGTCCCCTTTCTCGGATAAGGGTTATGCATGTACGTTGCCCAAAACAAAGTATTGAGTCTTTATTTCTACCAAATTTGATAGGAATATGCTTCCTGTAAATATGATAGGGATCTAACGGTCTAACCCCTAAACCACCTTCAAGTTTAGGGAAGTATGATGCTTTTCAAGATAACCAGTGGTATGCCTGCTTTTTATTAGATAATCCCCAAAAAAAACGTAGCCATTTTCTTTTCTAAAATTGAAATTATTTTTTGGGTAAGGTATCACTGTGTCAGTGGTCAAATAATGAAGTGGTAGTGATGATAGGACATGATTGATAAGGACTAGCCTTCCAATCTGAATTATGGTTTTGGATCGCCATTGATTCAGTTTATTTTCAAACTGAGCAATAATGTCAACACAATATATCCCCACAAGAGCAAGAAATATAGAAAGCTCTTCTCACTTTCGAAACCATGTTTAAGAAGATACTAGATAGTAATAAACAAGCAATCACCATGGGTTATAATCTGATGTCTTTGACTGCACTTTAGTCTCCACTAACCGATCATATCATAGAAATAACGGTAATATATTGATCTTATTAAAAGAGAATGCCTCATTACATGCGCGCTGGTTAATCATATTAAAAATCGTAGATGGGAAATTTGACAATTTTGTGTGCGTTTAGCGTAGGCTTAGTTTAGGTTAGGCCTAGGGCCGGCGCGGTGGGGGTGTTATGCTGTCTCCGCGTTGTCCGGTACGTTGAGGAAGCGTTATGCTGCCTCAGTGGCGCCAAATCTCCCCATGGGGGGTGGGGGGGGCAGGAGCAGTAGGGAGTGGGGAGAAAAGGGGGAGTAGGGGGACTGGAAGGGGGAGTTGGGGGACTGGAAGAGGGAGTTGGGGGGAAAGGGAGCAGTAAGGAGAAAAGGGGGAGTTGGGGGGAAACGGGTAAAGGAAAGGGAGCAGTAGTGTTGTAACAATAAAAAACAAACCTTTCACCTTTAGTGTAGCTCTAATATATATAACACACATGGAAGCTGATTTTATTGTAGATTTCTATTCATATTTTAAGTTGAAGTATCTTGGCGAGGATGGGGCGGTAGCTATCTGTGCTCTCCATAGGACCTTCTGCTACTTGGTTAAAAACAACTACCACCCCCGTAGATGTGATATGAAACCGACGAGAAAACTTCATTAGCACCCATTAGTCTGTTACATGACATATAAAACTGTAGAAAATCTAAGGCTGACTTTGAAAATTTTGAAGTTTAAAATGGCTACTTAAGGTGCATTATCCCCACAAGATCAAGAAATATAGAAAGCTCTTCTCACTTTTGAAACCAAGTTTAATAGACAAGCAATCACCATTGGTTATTATCCGATGTCTTTGACTGCACTTTAGTCTCCACTTACCCGATCATATCCATGGTTTTAAATTGCGGTTGCGGTCGCGGTTGCGGTTGCGATTGCGGTCATTGCGGTTGCGGCTAATGCGGCCGCTGCGATGCGTATTGCGGCCGCTGCGGCGTGAATTATTTTCAAGTTCGCACCAGAAAGAATGATGGACAGGCGGAGGCGTTGCGGTCTGTTGCGGCACGTCGTGGTCGATTGTGGCCTATTGCGGGATGTTGCGGCACCGTCACGGTTACGTTGCGGTTTCGTCGCGGTTACGTTGCGGTTTCGTCGCGGTTACGTTGCGGTTTTGGCCGTGATTCCAAATCATAAGGGTGTTGCGGGCTAATGCGGTTGCGGTGCCCTCGGCAACCGCAATTGCGGTTGCGGTCCGCAATTTGAAACCATGATCATATCATAGAAATAACGGTAATATATTGATCTTATTAAAAGAGAATGCCTCATTACATGTGCGCTGTTTAATCACATTAAAAGTCGTAGATGGGAAATTGGACAATTTTGTGTGTGTTTATGATTGATTTTGATTTTAAGTTTTCAGACTTTTTTCCTTGCAATGGAGCCAAAGATTCATTATTTTTTGGCTTGAGAATATGATGGAATAAAGCAAAATGTCTCACTAAACTGTCTGCGCTTCTTTGTTATGAAGCAGCCGTCAGTCCATGCAATTTTGAACGCGATTTTCACTATGGGTCATCCACAAACAGTCTCTCTGTGCTTTAGTACAGGGGTACGACTGCGTACATCCGACCCCCCCTTACCCCACCATAGGTGGGAGCCTTTGCGGCACTGGGGTAAATGAAAATGAAAATGAAAATGAAAATGAAAGACTTTTTTCCTTGTGGGGTAGCAATAGCATTCAGAGATTCAGTAGATTATGTTATCAAGCCCAATGATTCAGTAAACTTCACCAACTTTTCTTTGGATTACATTCAAAGAGAAGACAGGACCTCCCAAAGTGGTGTTTTTTATCTGGGTTTCGGAGGACACCAGATACTTGAAGAAAGGGAGAAATCATTTCTTGCCATCAATAAAACAATTCATTGTGGTTTTGATAAAAGTAGTGAAGGAGCACTGAATTTGATTTGGATGAGGACAAGAGATACATGAATGCATGCAAAGTTTTTCTATCATCGTGCATGAATGCATGAATGCCAACCAGTAAACTGGTAATAACCCACTAATTTTCTCTGTGTACACTTTTGCCAAGTTTCTTCTTTTCATGCGTTTTTATCCAATTGGAGTACTGGACTTCTATGCATTAATTTATGGGTCTTGTTAAGTTAACTGATGGTCAATGCATTTGAAATTGTACCTTTTTAATTGAAAATCATTAGTGTGCACCTTTTTACATATCTTGATGCATTTGATTGCATTCCAGTAAGAATCTTTCCTCTTTTAATTCCATAAAAACCTCCCAGGGACATTCGTTAGCATTTTCCATAAAAATTCTGAACATAACTTCTTGGAGAAAAGTGAAGGAGATCTTTGGGCTTTTCGGGGAGAGAGGAAGTGGCGTCAGTGCAGTTTAGTTTTTTTTAACTGCTTTATGGGTCTGCTATTTAGAGGTTTACATAATACTTTGACGAAATGGGGGGGGGGGGGTATAGCAGTTTCCCCAAGGTTTTTGTAGACAGGGGTTCCCTTATGTGGCAACTATGAGTAGAGATGAGATTATGAGAAGGTTGATAATTGGTTAGACGAGGTGTCCTCAAACGCAAAAGCAAGGCTAAAAGATCCATGTAAACCCCATTTCCTCAAAACCTATGTAGATTTAGTGTTTCATTTCTTTTAATGTGTCCTTTCTGATCATTGCTTATTGCGCTGCCCCATAGCATTGAGCTCTCGTCATATTTTAGGGGCATCATGCTCCTACCCAAACGAGGCCAAATCTCCATTGCCTCACAGTTCTATCAAACTGAACGATATCTTTGCTTTTTCCATTCACCATCCTATTGCTGGCCCATTCCTTCTTTAACCAAACCACACAACATTGTTCTGTCCCTACAACGAGCCATAGATATACCAACCTCCAAGTTGCCACAGATTCCTTCCCAGCATCACTCCTTACTAAGCCTAAAAAATCTTTCCAGGGGGAACTCACCACTGTCCAAAGCATCCAACATCTTCCAAAGTAAGCCTCAGTCTATATCATATTGTCCGTTGAACTCTCATTTTGTTGCTGCCCGTCATCACTCCTCTCTTTCTAGTTTCTCCACCAAAGTTTTTTCTGGCATTTCTTCCCTTCCTCCTTGGACTAGAGGGGGCTGAGGGGCTTTATCTTTAGATTGTTTATCTACCATACATTTTTTAGTCATGCATGTTTCATGATGGGTAAGGTTTCATGTTCCCCCTTGTTCTCTCAATCTTTAAATGTTCAAAGGATATTCAGGTTAAGAATTCAATGATTCATTTGGACGATAAGAATAATTTAAGTTCTGATGATAATAGGTAGGGCCGTAGGGGTGAAAAAATTAAGCAGAAGTGATTATAGTGAAACTAAGCATCCAAATAAATCATACTACGTATATCAGACACTTAATATCTTCACCTGTATGTGATCATTTCTGTAAAGAATGATAAAAGTAACAGACATTATATATAAAGTGGAACTATTATAAAAGAGAAATCTCGCATGAACTGAATTGGAGATACAAACTACATACTTTATTCAATAACCCATCAGGTATATTTATATTACATCGCGTATGATAGCTAGGAAAGGAGAGAGCACTATGCATGGGCCATGTATAGATATGAAAATCACGTACGTAGCTATGTGTGGTGGTGTGCAAACACTACATGTGAAATAATGATAAAATATTTCATGTCATAATATTCAATACTCCCCCTCAAGGTGGAGTGTGAAGATTACGTACACCCAACTTGCTGCGGAGAAATTGAAAACGGTCTGTGCCAAGTGCTTTGGTAAATATGTCAGCCACTTGATTGGCTGTGGAGATGAAAACTGGTTGGATCTCTTTACTAGCAACCCTTTCTCTTACAAAATAGCAGTCTATTTCCACATGCTTTGTACGTTCATGAAAAACTGGATTAAGTGCTATATGATGTGCCGCTTGATTGTCACAATATAGAGGTGTGGGACCTGTTTGATCAACTGTAAGATCATGAAGTAACCACCGTAACCATAATATTTCACTAACGGTAACTGCCATGGCACGATATTCTGCTTCAGCAGAAGAGCGAGAAACAACAGCTTGTTTCTTTGTTCTCCAAGAGATAGGTGAATTTCCAATAGAGATAAAATATCCAGTACTAGAGCGTCGAGAGAAGGAACATCCAGCCCAGTCTGCATCACAATAGCCCTTTAAGTTGAAATCGTTATCAGATGATAAAAATATTCCTTGACCGGGCGTTTGTTTTAAATAGCGTAATATACGAATGGCAGCATCTAGATGACTCTGTCGCGGATGGCTTAGAAATTGACTGAGTTGACTGACAGAATAAACAATATCCGGACGAGTTACTGTAAGGTACAATAGACGCCCAATCAGTCTGCGATAGGAAGACGCGTCTACTGGCCGACTACCATCGTCTGGGCACAGTTTTAAGTTTTGTTCCATGGGGAACGGACTGGGACGACCCGCTAGGAGCCCACTTTCTTCCAAGATATCAAGAGTATACTTTCGTTGGCTTAAGACAAAACCCTCCGGTGAACGAGCAACTTCAATTCCAAGAAAGTATTTCAATTTTCCCAAGTCTTTGATGCTAAACTTATTGTTTAAGTAATTTTTGACGGAGGAAATATGAGAGATGTCATTTCCGACCAAGAGGACGTCATCAACATATATAAGGGCAAAGGTTATGACAGTACCCTCTCGGAAAATGAATAAGGAATAATCCGCTCGAGACTGGCGAAAACCTATCTCAATGAGGGCTTGAGTAAATTTGTGATACCAATTGCGAGAAGCCTGACGTAGCCCATATAGAGATTTTTGTAACTTGCAAACACGAGTATCACCTTGTCTTTCGAATCCTTGAGGAATACGCATATAAACGTCCTCAGAAAGATCACCATGAAGAAAAGCATTATTGACATCTAGTTGGTGTACAACCCAACTGCGCTTAGCTGCAACGGCTAGTATGCATCGCACCGTGACGAGTTTGGCAACCGGTGCAAATGTCTCGTGAAAATCAATACCCTCAACCTGCGTAAATCCCTTAGCAACCAATCTAGCTTTATAACGTTCCACGTCTCCATTTGGTTTATATTTAATTTTATAAATCCATTTCGAATCAACAATTCTTTTTCCGGCCGATGGTGGGACTAGAACCCAAGTGTTATTTTCTTCCAATGCGCTGATCTCCTTTTGCATTGCATCTCTCCATAAAGGGTCTCGTATAGCCTGTGAAAAATATTTAGGCTCATCACGTGAA